TGGTTCCTGGTCTATTATCCAAAGCTATTGATTTGGTCAATCGATCCTTATAGGAGTTGGATGAACATTAGCTGACATATAGAGAGTGAAAAAAATAACTTTCAAACAAGAAAGAACTTTTCATAGTTTTATGTCGTACTTGCTAACGTCCACACCTTAAGCGATTCGTACTTGCTAACGTCCACACCTTAAGCGAGTTCAAGAGTAGAAAGCGTAAACACGTGTGCCTTACCATGAACAAGTATTCTTGTAAAAATTTGAAGATCTTAGCAACAAAACACTTTTCATCGATCGTTGTAACTCTATTAAAGCCATTCCCACTTCCTCATTAACCAGCTTATGGAAGGTGCCGTATTTCAAGTTTGTCGTCCATCACTCTTAGCTGCTGTAGTTTGTCTGTGGATTTGTAGCACTGAAAACGCATATATTGCTGAAAACGAACAAGCAGTTATCGTGCATTAAGAGTGCTTGAGGCTTAACGAAAATTCTCAAAAAATCCGGTTATAACTTACTTATTTATACGGTCTTATAAACTGACCTTCTTTATCTGATGCGAGGTTGGTATAGGCCTTCGTTGTCGTTGTTGTTGTTGCTGTTGTTCTTGTTGGTCGATGGCTGACGTTTCGGCGATTTCGCCTTCCTTAGAGCAATGATGTTACGAGTGTGACTAGAATTCCGGTTATGATTGTTTTTTTAATATTCTTGGAAGGGTTATTCTAGATTTGAGCGGTCGCCACATGAATTTCCTGAATTAAAGGTACAGCTTTGTGGGACAAATCACGAATAAAAATACCGAGTCACGATGTACAGCAATTTACACCGATTAGCAGCCGAGTAAAAAGCTTTTTCTTTAGCAATTTAGCTACCGTTGTAGACGCATTGTTCCACACCAAATCATGAGAAGGGATTTTTAGAACCACTCAGGTTTAGACTTCGCTTTAAAGAAAGCATGATTCAACACGAAGTTAGTACTACGCATATAGCTATCGTATCAATCGCTCTTGAGCAAGCTCCGACCTTTAACCATGTGGTGTGATGCGGGCAAATTACTGCTTGGAAATTTGTGGCGATTATCCCAAGTTATTTATTCCGAGCTTCTTGGTGGGTTTATGCAGGCGTTGAGCGTGTTGTCGTTAGGCAAAAGTTATAGCAGCTTCATTAGCATGGAACCGTCAATGGATTTTTCGACCAGCATTCAACGCATTTCACGCCGAAGACGAAAAAATCCTCTTCTAATAGCCGAAGTCGGATACAAAAAGTTCGAAAACCTTTATAGATGATGTACGCAAGGAAATGAATTAAATGCAACAATTGTTAGGATCTCCACAGTATGACATATACGGCGTCGGTTCACGTACTTAGATGGTCCATGTTCACTGGTTTGGCAACCTGGTGTTTGCTGAAGGAAGAAACACAGTGCAATAATAGCAGTTGTATTACCAATATGTAGCGTCCTATGCCCAGCAAAACTCATAAGTTAGTATCCACTAATAATTATGATTTTCTCGATCCATCATTATTCAAGGTTAGACTCATCACTAACTATGTAGACCTACGGATAAAATAACATGGTTCCAACTCTAATACTCACGCAGTCATTGGGAAACATTCCAGCCTCTCTTATAAACATCTGGATGTTCCTGGATCACAAATGTTCAACATTTATTCAGTGCAAAATACAACCGCAATAATAAATGATAAATATTTCCCACTGCACCACCGATGCTATTGCTTCGACTTTCTCTAAGCCAGTTTATCACCTCAACAGTTCTGCCAGCAATCACCCCTCAATCACCAGTGGCTGTAGTGGATAACAATTGAGTTCTCAGAAAGGTTCCTGTATCGTCAAAATAAGGCGCGTCCTAACGACGCGTACGTGATGGAGTCCTTCGACGTTACCGCCCTTTATAAAAACGTGTAAAATGATTACGCCAAGTAAGTTGCCCTCGAACTCTCACACAACACGGAAGGGAAATAAACTTGTATGGCTTCCCGATTTATTAGCCCATGGCGTTCTTAAAGGTGTGCCTAAACTGCTCATTCTTCACATGGTCCGAGAAATATTACGCACAAATGGGACGGTTGGCAATGGGAGAGCGACTGGCACCAAGCCTTGCCACTGCATTTAGGTTTAAGGTGTAAAGCACCAACAACCGATCTCTGGCCATCACTCTACTGTAGATATATAAATAATTGTTTTGCCATCTGCTTCACAGAATAGGAGATGGGCGAATGTTTTGAGTTTTTGAATGGACAGTTAGAAATCATCAAGTGTACCTGGGTGATACCGAAAAAAAACTGGCTTCCATCTTTCAACGCTCAAATCGACTTATCCGAAAACGGCTACACTACGAAGTGGTACTGAAAACTAAGTAACAAAAACATACTGGTTCATCACCTCTTCTCTCATTCCTTATGCTCAAGCAGGACGCTTGTGAGAAACATGTTTCGAACAGCCACTAATGTGTGCATAGGAAGAGAGAAGAAAAAAGAATCCCTGATACTGGCTCGCAAATAGCCATTTCCAATGGCTATGAAACTCCAGCTCCTCGGGATAACTGCAGAATAAGAACCACGCCCCCAAACGATGGCCCCAGAGACGATAGGAGTCGGTTGATTTTGCCCTTTGCCTCCGCCGAAATAAGTGCAGCTGTAAAAGGTTAGTTTAAAAGAGCCGGTTTAGAGAATTTGGTTGCAGTGATTTAAATACAGCCAAGCACTCTAGAACGCCAACTAGTTCGCAACCGCCTGTATGACTGTCTATTCAGAACGCAAAATTGCACAGTATGCCCTAACGGTAGCGTAGTGATTGTTTGAGGCCGGGTACGGTTTATCTGATTTTTTGCACAATGTGCGGGACGAATTCATTGGCGAAACTGGTAGACCACTCTGCACCCTACATTTATATGGAAGAACATCTAGTCGGTAAGCTTAAATATAAACCAAATACTCCACTAGGCGCGCATGAGACACAGGGACATAACGAAGAAGGTCCTGAAGTATAAGTTATCATCTCGCACCGGAATCGAAAATTTCGTCTTGCAACACTCTTAAAGGATCCTGGGTAAACTCCAAGAATTGAAAGTGAACCGCAAGAAGAATACGCGTAATATCACACAATGTTTAAGAGTGACATTTTAATGTGAGAAAGGAACATTATCCATCCATGTGGACTCTGTGTGGTTAGCTCCCACGAGGAACATTCATTGTAGGATTCATAGAATGAGCGCCCAAAAGGGCCATTTTGTCTTTAGTGCGATTGAAATCTAGGTTTCACGAATTTTCTGTTGTGGTTGTGGGGGTCTTTTGTTCACCAGATTACAGTCAACTTGACCTTTCCCGGCTCTGAAGAAGGCGAAGTCGGCCGAGACGTCCACTCTTTTGTGAATAAAGAATAAAGTAGCGACCTCGTTTGCGCTTATCAAGAAGACAACGAATTATTAATCAATGCCGAGGTTAAAGGAAAGTCGATCCTGTGAATAATAGACAATTTCTATTGGGAAAATGATACGTTGGTAAACACCACCACAAGCTTACTGGCCAGCATAAGCTGCTCCAATGCACAGCAGACATCCACTGTTGCGAGCAAGTTCGAAATTTCCACAGTCTGTGATCCCAGTCGAAAAATTCTACACCAGCATAGGATCACCTCTACTACATGGTTCTTCGTAAAGCAGTAAGCCGTCCCCGATCCACAAGTGTCGACAACTGCCGGTGACGGGGCGGTGGGAGTGCCCCGGATTTTTGTCCTCGAAGATCTCTCACTGAGAAAAAAAGCGGACTCACTCAGCTTGCAAGAGTGGAGAGTCTTCCATCACCTACGCAAGTATCCAAGTGTGTAGAATAAAAAACATTTCACTATAATCAATATCAAAAGTCTTCTGAGGTCTGGGTAGATACGACCCAGATGTAATCGATTACCACTTAACAGTTTTCTGATATTTTATTTCACTCTGATGCTTCCACTGTGTGCTTAAAAGAGAAATTTTAAATCGATTTTATTGAACCGCCCGGACGGGTCATTCTTAACGTGGGGAAAGTCAATCTGACATTGTCTAAATCACAACTAACAAGCGGTAAGGAGGAATATCTGAGTTATTCAAATGACAGCCCCATTGAACCAACCAAAATCTAAATTCTTGACGAACAACACTTTCTGAAGTCCGCCCACGACCACACACCAAGGGATTAACCCTCATTAAATCTAAGATTATTACCCATAAATTTGCTGACTCTTAGGATTTCGAAGAAGTAATCTCTGAACGTCGCTGCTATATTGATCGCCCTTATCACTATTGAATGACATAAAGAGCAGCGGAATTATCTACTTGCGATAAAAATAACTTCTACCCTAGATTCTTGGAATGTTACGCAATGTTTATAGGAGCAGTGAACGCCTTGCAATGCAGGTAGAAACAACAAACACTCTGCAAGTGCAAAGCAGTCAAAAACCAAACATACTCAGATAACTTGAGGAAGCGTATCACCAGGCGGGACCCCTTCTAATTCCCGGCTCTTCCTCCTGTACACCGTCTGTCAACACTTATACCAGCTCGGGACCCCTAACACACATACGTTGCTTCCTGCATGCTTGAGACCGGCAAAGTACACAAACCGATTTGGACCGCCTAGCCTGACGTGAGGATGACGTCGACATTCACTACTGACCGATCAGACCGAGCAACTCCCTTGCTCCGTACAGCTCTGCGGACTCTGTGCTAGCTCCTTCCCTACCGACTCTACTCCCACCGAACCTTGGCCGCCACCCCGTCGGGACGGACCAGGCTGCTCCACTGGGCGGCGGACGGGGGGTGGCGGCACCAGGCTGCTCTGCGTCCCTGCCCGGCGATGCAACGCCGGCGCGCCCATGCTGTACTTCATGCGAGCGCCGTCGGCCCTTTAGTGCCTCGTTACCCCGCATGAATGCCCGCCACCAGGAATATCGTCTGGTTCGTTTCTCTTCTATAATTTCGGATTTTCTCAGATTCTTGGCTAAAGTTCTCGGGAACATCATCGATCTTCGGAAGTACACGCCTTCTATTTCAGAGTCTTGAGATCCGCCAAGTCAACGATGCTGTTTCCTGCATTTTCCACTCCCTTCTGACGCATAGAAGTGTTGCAAAGGTGCTGCTATCTCCTGCAGTTTTAGTTACACTTCTGATTTCACCTCAGGTTAAGCTCACTGGAAAAAATAATCTGAATACCCTGGCGTTTTTGTCATGTTTACTCGCTTTTTCTAAGTTGTAACCCTAACTGTGTGTTTTTCCCTCCCGACCGATGCATAGCCGGTCATAGTCGATTTCGAAAATATCACCAAATGTTTCAAAAAAAGCCTTTATTTTGATACAACCACACCGATGCTGACATATTCGCAAAATTTAAACTCCGTGCCAGATTAAACCACAACTACCCTGTACGGGTCTCGCGTATAACACTGCACCACAGGGCCCTTGCTCTGCGTTTATCTCAGCTAGTTTTCTACCTAACGCTGCCATCAGCAATGACCTGTCAGCGGGATTGATCTGCGGAGCACAAAAGGGGCTCAACATTGCCTTTATTTTGTTTCGAGTCGTACTTCTTCAGTTGCATCAACAATGGCGTTGGAGGAAGGGAATGTCCATAGTGTAGCTATGAAAAAAAACAACTCGAGATGATTTATGTTATCCTTGTCGCTTAACATGTGAGCATTGAAGGCCTTTTTTCCAGTTCCAGTATAAGGATGACTCGAACTATTCGTTGGGGTCGCTAGGAACCAAGGAAGTGGAGTGCGAGAACATCGATCTATCCTACGTAAGTGGTTCTTTTACAAACGCTACAACATTTAATACTTCCTGATTTCATGTTTCGTCCCATACCTGCTGGTGTTCCTGCAGAGTGTTTCATTTTGCAGTCTCCTTTCACTTCCTGGTTGTTTGACGGGGCTGGCCTGCGCACAGTGGCACCGGCGGCGTCAGCTGATCGCCGTAGACCAGGCGTCACCACCGCCGCCTCGTGAGCGACACGTGAACGCCGGCGTAGTGTGCGTGAACTCGTCGCTCGTGAGCAGCGCAGGCGTGCGGGGCTTCCCGAGTGGCACTCGGACACCGCTGTGGCCTTGAAATCGCATCTAACAAGCTGGCCACCATTACTACTGCAGAATTTCGCGTTGATTTCTCCTAGTGATTAATTAACGCGAGTGATTAGGTTTACAATTGTAGTTCCGATTAGGACCGAAGCGCGCTTTCAGTTTCATTGGGCATTTACTTCAGCTTTTCTCAAATACCCGACGCATTTGATTTTGCTCTGTGCTGTAATGTAGAGATGTCAGTTGCGGTAGGCTTTTCTTTCCTATCAGAAGGTACATACATGATGATCGCTCTAGAACATAAAGCAGCGAAAAATGGGGTAAGAGGTTATTAGATTCTTCAGAATTAAGGATAAAGGATAAAGCTGTCGGCGTTGGTCAATACCTGGTGGATGCGCCATGCATTGGACTTCATGAAGCATCGTATGGAAGTGATTGAATACATATCTGGCTTTTACAAAGACTCGCGGTGGTCTCCCGATGTATCGAGCCAGTGCTGCTATCCTTCCAGACAAGTACCAATTTGCCGACCCCGGAGGGATGGAGAGCTTGGTGGGCCATGGGCGCGGAGATCGATTCCACATATGTGTTTCCGGGTGCCTCCGACCACTGCGCCACGCACACTCCTGTATCCGCTATCTTCAGGGTTAGCACTAGAAATCGTTACTTCCGTTGTAAACTTGGCATTTCTGGAAATGAATATGTGGTAGTGATCACTGTGGTTGGCGCATGAAGAACCTGAAAGCAAAAATTGTGAAACGGGCTATGAGGCCATTGCAAAGAAGAAGGCAAAGGGCAAGAAATAAAGAAAAGCAATCTTTGTCGATGGAACGATATGACAGCATGATATGACCATATAGTTCACTCGCAGTCAATCACATCCTCCGAATGTGTCTTTGTCTTGCAAAACTGAAGCACTTCGGCATTGACAAGATATTAATATATACTCTTCCTCAATCTTTTCATAGAGTCCCATTGTACAGAGGATAGATGAGAAGAATGCCTTCCGGAATTCCGAAAGATTTCACAGTGAATTTTTCGAAATGAACATCGAGGGTTAACGCCTGGTCATCGGAATTTAGCTATTGCTACACTTCATCTAAATGTTCATTTTGAAAACGTACCCTTATTTTCCGTGCCGTTTGCTAAATTGACAATGCGATGCGTATTCCATCCATCCATGTAATATTTAATCAGAACCAAGGGTTACAAGTTTGCTGAAGCGATAGGAATTTCTCATGGCAAAGTGAATTTCCAGCTGACATGAATGCTTGAAAGAAAAACTGAGCCGTGAGCTGTTGAACTTGATGAATTTTTGAGATCAGTCATAATTCGCTGGGTTGAGAATAGACCTTGAGCGAAGTATTTACAAAGGAAGGGAATTAGTTGCTTAATTTCCTCCAGTGTGATACAGTTACTCCGTTTTAACTTTTATCATTGTAAGCAGGGAAGGATTTCTGCTTCACTAAGATTTGATTTCATCAGAATAAGGAAAGGATCTTCATTGTCGTGGGTATTCCTTACTGACTAAGTCGTTTGTATTACACCAATTAGTATAACATTTCAGGTCAAGATCAATAGCGATGAATTGTCATATCAATTGGAGAAGGAGATTAAACCATTCCTCGCGGAACTGGATAATACTGTGAAAGCAGCACCTCCACGTAAACTCACTCCTCACAACAGTCCTACACCATTGGAATCAGCAAGTAGGTTCATGCTGTTGCGGTAGGGAATCCGTTGTCAGTGCCAGCCATCCGGCCACTTATTAGAGATGCATTAGGAAGGGTCAGATTTTAATTATAACCTCATTTTTAAACGTGACCTGCTAATGCAATTGCTGTTGTCTCATGATAGTACTTTGCTCATGTAAGTGTACCTTAGTGTATCGGGATGTACTTCGAGCCATTGTTTCTATTGATGCGTATATGGGAGGCTACTAATTACAGCTGTATGAATACGCTGTTGGGACTGAGTGAATCTGAATTTATGGAGTTTTGTATTTTTTATAAGTGCGCACGCCTTCGTTCGCTTTGAATTGACGAAATGAGGTAATGCTGTCCTCAGAATGAAGGATTCGAAAAAAATGATTGATCAATTGTTGCTACTTCGCAGTACATCAAAGAGCAAGATATCGAATAGAATCATTTATTTATTTCCACTTAGTGAGGTGGATAAACGTTTTCCATTCCCAATCATTACTTATTATTCTGTTTTAGTTCCCCTTCTTGGAACGCAAATCAGCTTAGAATTTTTTCAACGCCGTCCACGCCCTTGGCCATTGCCAGTTGAATCAGTGGCGTGGGAACGATGGATCCTTTTTCTAGACATTTTCAAAGCCAGTTCATACGGTGCGCTTCTCTTTCTTATAACGTTTTCTTTTTCTTTTCGTACAGTAACCTGCATAAGAAGGCAATTAGTATATGTTGGATTCGGAAGAATTTTAGGGTAGTATTGTCTAGCATGGATCTCACTCACGGAGTGATGTCATATCGATTAGTTTCGAGGCAAGGTGGCGCATCTGTAAGTGTTGGATAGGGATTAATCGCGAACCAAAAGGAACTCTGTGAGACGCAGGTGGATCTAGGGAATCGACTTCCTTTTTTTGTTGTGCCAATTTAGCACATACCTTCTCTGTTACAAAGACGTATTCATGCATACGTGTGAGGGTAGTTCTTTCCTTATTTGGATTGCATTTTACTACTCAGTTCAACCAAAAGCCTTTAATCAGTTGGCTGCGAAGTATATGGGAGGCGGTTAGTGGTCGCCTCTAATATGTAAGCTCCTCGTCTCCTTCGGGCTGCAAGCAGCCGCCAACTAACGTTGGAACTTGCAAAACACTACAGAATGAAGATAAAGGAAATTTTAAAGAGAAGAATAGTAGTTATGATCGAAACTATAGTGGCTGGGAAGAGCGTTCGCAAAGCACTGAACGTTCGCTAGCTAGAAAACGAAGGTGATTGCATTCCTAAGCCCAGATGGAACAGGTACAGCATGCAGAAAGGCAGTGGAGAAAATCAGTCAGCGTTACTACTCAGATCTCTTCAGTAATCATGTCCACCTTGCTTCACTCGAAATGAAGGAAGACGTATATATCGTCTCACCGGTTTTCTCTTCTGAAATCCGATGTGCTATTTCTTCGATGAAGAATGATAAGACCTGAATACCTGAAAAATCTTCCGCCAGTCATCATAAACACACGCACTGCTCTTCACACGTCACCTGTCCGAATGCAAGGTTCATATTGAATTGATGGCTAGCATGACCGTACTATTGTTCAAAAATAGTGACCTTCACGATATGGGAACTATCGCCCAATTTGTTTACTGTCTGTCGTCTACAAACTCTTCACTGGAGTCAACCTAAACAGGATTGACAGAATACTGGTCGACGAACAGCCATGTGAGCATGCCTGGTTTCGAAAAGGATTCAGTACGATGGACCACATCTACACGATAAAAGATTCATCGAAGTATCACGAGTGTACGAGAGACCGCGCTGTCTCACTTTCGTCGATTTGAAGAAAACTTTTGACTCAGTTGAGATAGAAGCAGTCATAGAAGGAAGCCCTGGACGGTCAAGGCGTCTCTACTCCGTATCTAAAGATTCTTTATGCTATACAAGGGTTTTAAACCAAAACATCAACATTCAAAAACGATATTAATCGTTTCCATAACTATGGATTAGCCAGGCAGAACCAATCATAGAAGAAAGACGTGGTGGTCACTGAGTCCTTGGAGCGAGAAAAATCCACTGGGATACTCTTGAACGCAACAGGGAGAAGTGGAAATTACTGGCATTCGCTCAAGTCACTTGGCAATCAACAGGACGACAGGATACTCACAGGTGGCAGGTGATTTGTTGATAAAAGTGTAATTTTATCTACGCTGAAGTGCCGCGCTCGTTTTGAAAAGTGCTGGTTGCTTGACATTCTTATACTTATTGCATACGTTTTATCTTATATTTTCACAACCTATATTTTAAGAAATTATGGAAATGTTTTAGCGTTGCACTACTATGTAATGGTGTGTTCTAATTTCCAATTATATTTACTCAAGAAGGCGTGTGGTTTAACATTTTCTTGATATTGCAGATGATCTTGCCCGTATGCGTGTTTCCGTCGCGGAAAGCGTGGGCGAAATAGTTCTTCAGCTGTGTAGCTGTATAAACAGGCAGCAATATTTGCCCAAGATGCCTACTAGAACGGAACTTTCAAATGTTTTCGATCCCAGTCTTCCAGATTGTCAACCGTATTTGTTTAAAGTGTGCCGTGTACCCATCCGACCAGGCAAGTCAAGTTCATTCCACTTCTTTCAGTTGAGTTTCTTAGAATCACTATTTCGTTAGGTAGCACTTTCTTCGTTTTGCAACGTACCACTCTTATGCTGTGCATGGGCTAATATCTGAGTATCCATTTAACTTAAAAAGGTTTTTTTATTCGAATTCCAGTTGACTTCAAAGTGGTCTACTGCCGCTTCGTAATCAATTTCTATCGTTGAATTTTCAGAAGCCGTACCTCAAACGGGTTTCAGTGGTATGAGACGGTATCTACGAGACCTTGTTATCAACTAGCATATGTCGATTTTTCCCTTAACTTTGGAATGTTTCTTGATACTTTTTTGTTCTTCCGATCATGTGGAGGTCTCTTGCAATATTATTAATCTTACCATAGTGTTGCTGCTCAATGATACAGAATTGTTTCCGGTACACCATCCGGTCTTTCCGCGTTTTGCGGGTTTGAACAGTTCCATCGTCCCGTTGGTTTAGTTCAAAATTAAGTTGTTCAGGAGCATGAGTAGTTTTTTCTATGCTTTCGATCCTTGCTGTAATTAGTGTATTCAAAACTTGGTATATAGTGGTCGAAGTGTTTGTGATTTATACGTCCTTGTACATAATGCATTTAGAACGACTTTCTAGTTTATTTATCTTCGTGCCTCGTTGTTTTGCCATCTGTCGTTGAGTCCTTTGAGGTTCTAATTACTTACATTAGGCTTTGTTCGTTCCCTTGTTCGCTTGTTTTCAATTTCATGTGTAAATACTTCTTACGTACGCATCTCATCTGTTTTTCATGGGACTTTCATGGCCATGGCTATAATGTGCATCTGTTCAACAAAGTAGTTTTGCCGCTTCTTCGCCCATAGTTCCATAGCGTTGCTTATTCGACAATATTTTTGTAATCCAAAATCGATCGGATTGAGTGGTCGAGGACAGTGGTATATAGGACGTAACTGTTTCACGTCGTAGAAGAGACTTTTACATAGAGGGAAGCTGATTTTTCAACGGTGCACTGAGCTTGCAGAATCAGAGAAAGGTGCACCGTGCATTGTAAAGCAGGTACAGAGGCGCATTAACACAACGCGCGGCGTACACTGGGTACAATGCATGTAGTGTTAGTTGGCATAGGCTCTCAATGGTTTATCGCCTCGTAGTGGCTACGAGATGTTCCTAGGTGTGAGAGCTGGGATGTACAGCAACGGGATTCATCCCCAATGAGGTCTCCCAAGCTGAAAGGAAGGCCGGCATTTCAATTAGGTAGCCCAGCTAAGGGTAAACCAGTGCCAAGATCAACCATTGGCCTGGTTTCTAACTAGTCGCATAGTGGCAAATCTCCCTTAATACGCAACGGGAGCGACTGGCTGTAGTGGTGACGACCTAGGGCAGACTTTGGCTAGGCCGAGATCGGTACTCCAGAGAATCACAATGGTTTGACCAGCAAAACTCCGAGAAAATGAACATTGCGACATTACATTGTGCTCCACACAATCAGTGACGAAGGGACTGATGGGGAAGTGTGTCCACCAAGTCGATGAGGTGCGGCGGAGACTTCAGCGGCAGCGCCTCGCATTGATTAATAAAAAAGCGCCAATCCGTAGCCATAATATGTGGCATCGCGTCATATATCCTATGCTGCAAAGCTTGAGCGAGCTGCACGACGACAATTTGCCACATCCGCAACACTCGCGAGGACTCTCGCCACCGATTGTCAGCTCTTCAAGCATCTCGATTTCCGGTTCGAGAAGCTCTTCAGAAACTAAGCGGAGGTCGAAGTTGCCTTCAACAACTTCATCGTGTTCCGAATTTTAGACTTTGTACAGCGTTTCAGAAGTTTTGACTGTTTAACCGCACTGGTTAGAAATTGGTGGTTGCTACGTGATCTTCAAAGCACTAAAAGCTAAAAAGGGTAAGTCTCTCGGCGTTGATCCCTGAGGGATGCGCCATGCTTTCAACTTCATTAAGCATCGTCTGGATGTGACTGAGTGCATATTTGGCCTTTACAATGACTTGCGGTGGCCTACCGATGTATCGAGCCAGTACTGCTATCCTCCCAGACAAGTCTGGTACCAATTTGTTGACCTCAGGAGGACGGAAAGCTTGGTGTGCCATGGGGTCGGAGATCGATACCACGTGTGTGTTGCAGAGCGCCCCTGACCACTGCGCCACACGCGCAAGTTTCGAAACACTACGAACCATAAGTTGAATACAACCACAACGATGCTGAGATATAGCCATAATAATGTTGAGATCTCCGGAGCTCTGGTGCCTGAAGTGGGGACCGAGCACGCTATTAACCTTTCCGGGGACTAACCCCCACGGATCTACCTCATACGAGGGGTCTCGAGCCGGTTAGTCACGAGGCTACGTGACGCGACCCCAGATGGCGTATAGGGGTTAATCGCAGACCAAAAGTGACCTTTGCCTCCCTAAGACGCAGGTGGATCCAGGGGATGGACTCCCTGTTTCTGCCGCGCCGATTTGGCGCATACTTTCTGTATTTGCTAGGCGTATTCATGCATGCGTGTGTGGGTGCGTTCTCGCTTATGCGGATTGTATTCTACGAGTCAATTCGACCAAAAGCCTGCAATCAAGTGAGAGGGAAGTATATGGGATGCGGCTAGGACTCGCCTTCAACAAATAGGCTCCATGTCCACTCTGGGAGAGCCTGGCGAGCTACCCGTGAGTATACCCAGCCCCCACGTTCAGTGCCCAGCAAGCTATACGTGGGTATAAAAAATGCTAAACACAGTAAAAAAAACGGGCGTCATTCCCGTGACCCCGAAAGAGCCCACAATTTCACAGGGTTGGGTAGGACGAGTATGGAGAGGCTGCTAAAATTTCAGGGCCAATGGAAGTTGCCTGGATTACAAAGAACGATGGTGACGATCTGTAGCAACAATGCACGTACACTTGCATCCGAGTCCTCGACAAAAGACTTGCTCATGCAAGCAAGAAGAAAAAGGTACGAAGTCATCGACATGACCTGATCGAAACGAGGCGATACCACCCATTCAACGCCGTCTATGATATCGAAGAAGAACTGTTCCTCGGAACATGCAACAGTAGAAGAGTCGACGGCGTCGGCGTTCTCGTCAACACGAGTTTGTCCGTGAACATCGATTCATTCGATAGCCTACAACCCGAATCGAACATTTACGATTAAAAAGACGTGGTTCAATACCAGCTTTGACAATCTTCGTCGCTTACGCGCCGACATCAAACTATGACAAAGAAGAATTCGAAGCGTTCTATATGGAGTTGGAGAAGTTCTACAGAGAAGACCATGCACTCTTCAAGGTCATCGTTGGAGATTTCAACGCCAAAATTGGACCAACAAGAACGTCTGAAGAACGTCACATTGGGACTCACGGATTAGAATGGAACGAACAGGGTGAGTGGCTATCTGAATTTATCCTAGCGACCAGGGCAACCCATGGTAACTCGCAATTCCAGAAGCCCTACTCTCAACGGTAGACGTGGGAGTCTCCCACTGGAGAGTACTATAACGAAATAGACCACATCATAGTAAGTAGAAGGTTTTGCCTAACCGTTGTCGCTGTTGTCCCAAAATTCTACACGGGATCAGACCACCGTCCCCATCGTGCAAGACTTTATTTCTCGCTGCAAGGAGAAAAACCTGCCAAATTCAAAAAACCAGGTCCCAAAACCACAACAAACTGGGATTTATTCAATTCATCAGTCGGCTGTTGGGAAGATGCCGTTGTCGATAACATCGACGAGGAATACGATCGGCTCATTCAACATCTTCACATTAGCGCTATGAACACTCATAGGTCGAAAGTCACCAAGAGACTTCTGTCTCCAGAAACACTCAAGATGATATGCCAGCGTGACATCGCACGAGTTGCAGGCAACCGCGAGCTAACGTCCGAACTCGCAAAACGGTGCAGACAGGCGATAAAAGAAGATCTTAAAGAGCGAAAAGCAGCAGTTAAAGTTGAAACTACTGAGGCTGGGAAAAGCATTCGCAAAGGCCACCGAAGCTTCGTCAATTACAAAACCAAAATGATTGCACTCCGGCGCCCAGACGGAACACTTACAGCGTCCAGTAATGCAATGAAGAAAGTCATTCAAGATTACTACTCAGATCTCTTCGATAGCCACGTTCTCCTCCTCTATGAAATAAAAGAGGATAGATATGTTCTATCACCGATTCTCCCTTCCGAAATCCGACATGGCATTTAGTCGATGAAAAGTCGAACAACACCAGGTGAGGACAGGAGAGGACCAGAACACCTGAAGAACCTTCCGCCAATCCTCGTAAACACACTGGCTCGGTTCTTCACACGTTACTTATCTGAATGCATGGTACCTATTCAGTGGAGGATCAGCAGGACCGTGTTATTGTTGAAGAATTATGACCTGCGCGATATGGGAACTATCGCCCAATCTGCTTACTGTTTGTCGTCTACAAACTTTTCACTCGAGTCATCCTAAATAGGACTGACAGAACACTGGACGAAGGACAGCCATGTGAGCAGGCAGGGTTTCTAAAAAGATTTAGTACGATGGATCACATCCACACGGTAACAAGGCTCATTGAAGTATCACGAGAGTACAAAAGACCGCTCTGTCTCACTTTCATCGATTTACAGAAGGCCTTTGATTCAACTGAGGTAGAAGCAGTCTGGGAAGCCCTTGATATTCAAGGAGTCCCTACTCAGTACGTAAGGATTCTTCGTGAGCTGTACAAAAATTTCACAGCCAAAGTATCACCATTCTACAACGATATTAACATTGACGTCAAAACAGAAATTAGGCAAGGCGACACCATCTCGGCAAAATTATTTACCGCTACCCTCCAGAACGTCATGCGAGCATTGGAATGGGATAATATGAGAGTGAAAATCGATGGTCAGCAGTTACATCAGCTTCGCTTTGCTGATGACATCGTCCTCATAGCACCAAACATTAGTGAAGCAGAACGTATGGTTGCCAACTTTGATTGAGTCTGTGGAAAAAAGATAGGTCTTCGATTAAATCTCATAAAAACGATGTTCACGAAGAACGGACTGGTTCCGTATGCACCATTCACGCTCAACGGAACGAATATCTCCGAATGCTCCAGTTATATCTACCTAGGTCGGGAAATCAATATGTTGGGCGACTTAGCTCCTGAGCTGAGCTGAACGAAAAGAGCGGCTTGGGGAGCTTTCAAGAGCATCGAGAATGTAGTGAAGAGGACAAGGAACACCCGACTCCATGCCCACCTTTTCGACTCAGCGGTACTTCCTACCCTAACGTATGCGATAGAAACCTGGTCGCTGCGTAAGCACTATGAAAGGCCACTCAGCGTTTTCAAATACGCAGTCGAAAGGATGATGCTAGGAGTATCCCGTTCCACACAAGTAAGGGATGAGATCCGAAGCTGCGTCAACGATCAAAAATCGAAGATGTCGTTCTGTACGCCAAGTAATCGAAGATAAGGTGGGCCGGACACGTAATGCATATGAATGATAACGGATGGACAAAAGCCGTTAGTGACTGGATTCCTCCGGA